GTGATTCAAATATTTCTCTCTCGGTTAACTTTATCCAAAATTAATATCAAGAGAAACCATGCAATCATTCACGTAGATTTAGCAACAATTACATACAAAAGGAATGGACCGATAAAGATCTTTCGTTGTTCCCATTTGTGGCCGAACATGTCCGGCAGGTCATGTTCGGGCATTGTTGGGCAAGGCTCCTGCATTGTTGGCGGTTGCCTTCCTTTGACAGGCCTCCCAGCGCTGGGGTTTTCCACCTAGATCTGTTTTTTTACCGTCACATGGGTGTCTGGGTGTATTTTTATTTTAAATGACAAAATCTTGTTTTTTTCGTTAAGTAAATTTATTTCTAGCTTATAATATAATTGAAATATTCTCAATGCCTTAAATGTGATTATGCAGTCAATACAAAACGGATGGAGTGACGCACTAACCGTCAAACTGTACCTATATTTTTCCTAGCTGACAGACTACAGAGGCTTGGAAGCTTCATAATTTTTAACATTTCATCATAAGGCTTGCCTCTTAAACCCGGAATTATCCTTGTTGCACGTCTTAGAACACTCTCGACTAAAATTTTGTTCTTTTTAGTTTTGGTGACCACACGGCGCTTCCAAACTCTAGGTTTGGACGCATGACAGCGACAAACAACTGCTTCGTCGCTTCAGCATCTATGTATGTACTCGTAAGAACTTCTGATCAGTCCAAGTCGTTTCGTTTATGAGCTTTTTTAAATTGAGCTTCAATATGCTTAGAAAATTCAATTCATTGTTGACATTAACTCCTAAATCTTTTTCCATTGCCGACTTCGACATCATCACTCTGTCGTTGTGAAAGACGTTGTCGATGGAACCAGCTATCTACGATATGAACAGCGTTTTAAACAATAAATTGTGCGTTTAAAATTACTTTTAAAGACAACACTTCCAAAGAGGCCAGTGTCTCCGACGTTACACATGTACAATGAATTCCTTTTCTTATTTGTAAATATTAAAAAATAAGTTGCCACATTTTTTAATATATGAAAAAAATCATTTTTGAAATTATTCATTCTGTCAATTGATTCATGCATTGTCTCAGACTTAACGTAAGCGTGCAGAATTTCAGATCGACTGGACAAGTATAAGTGTGTTAAATATCGAGTATAAGATTTGAAGCAGACAGACAAACAACAGGAATTGAAGTTAAAGAGAAGTGTTCTATAAATATGCGTTTAAAAATTTCTTTTAAAGACAACACTTCTTAAGAATCCAGTGTCTCCGATGTTACGCATGTGCAATGAATTTCTAATTTTATTTTCATATATAATTTTTTTCATTTATATGTATAAAAAATTTTAAATTTTCAAAATTATTTATTCTGTAAATTGATTGTCTTTATTTGACACATCCTTCACTGTATTATAAACTTTTGTGTCATCGTCATACATGGAGCACACGCTTGACTCTACTTCTGGCCAGTCGTTCGTATAAGCAACGAACAGGACTGATCCATGTGGCACGCCACTGCGCACTGTTGCCCAATCTGATACGGTTCCGTTAATACTGACACATTATCGTCTATCTACTAGAAAATCTCTGATCCATTGGAGTTCATTTCCCTCTATTACCAAAGACTTCACTTTACGCAACAGCTGCTCATGCAGAACGCTGTCAAATGCTCTGGCAAAATCAAGCCACACTGCATCCACTGGCTCCCTTTCGTCCAGCAGGCGAGTCCAATCGTTCAACGTAGATAATAAGTTAGTGGTGCAGGATCTACCGACATTAAAGCCATGTTGACTGTCTGATAGGAGATGGTGAACAGTCAAGTTATCGATAATCCTATCCCTCACAACAGATTCCATTACATTAAAAACAACACTTGTCTGACTCACAGGGCGATAGTTACCGGGGCTACTTTAGTCACCTTTTCAACGGTCAGCAAAGTCCCTTCAATCAAATTTTTTTGAAAGAACACTGTCAAAGGGCCGGTAAGGACGGTTACTAATTCTTTCAGCAATGTAAAGTTCAAATCAGGACGACTCCAAATAGATTCGATAAATTGGAGCCCACGACTACCGCCGAACCTCAACAAAGGAAAAATGAAAGCCAAATAAACAAGTATCTATTAACCAGAGACAACTACAACAATAATGACTAGGTAACAGAACACTTCAACTAATTAACAGTTTATAACATGAACAGATAACTACGAATAATAGGCACACGGAACTGAAAATATACGTAACTTTATAAATAAACAATATGCTGAAGGCACAATAAGCTTAGGACACAATATGCTGGAGGCAACACGCAAATGACACTATATGCTGAAGGCAATACACAGACGACACTATATGCTGAAGGCAATACACAGATAATACTATATGCTGATGGCAATACACAGATAACACTATGCTGAAGGCAATACACAGATGACACTATATGCTGACGGCACACAGTACAGTAAGTAGGTAGTGTTCAACAAGATGCACAGCATCAGCTGTGAGTGAACACACAGTAGGTGTCTGGACCGGTAGAAACTTGAATGTGGCGGACACTTCCCTAGAAGCACCGCAGTCGTCGGCCTACGTAGGAGCCGTACTTGTTGGCCAGGCAAGAAATCGATCCTTCTAGGGACGCTACACAATCACTCGAGCACAGTGAGAGGAAGGTGCGCTACGACCAAGTCTCAACGGAAAAATGAATAGGCATCCTAACGCGGACTTCAACCCGGTGATGCCACGTCAGCACACGCGACACGGTAGCCAACTTAACCGGTAACATCATACCGTATAACTAGAAATAATTTTGACCACAACAAAAATCTGACAATGGTTGAATTTCCCTTACAAGCAATCTAGGGTGGAGGCCGTTTGGTCCACATGACTTGTTAGGATTCAGAGCTACCAGGCGCTTGAGAACCTCTTCTTCATGTATTTCAAAATCTGTTAACATCGAGCCTACTGAGAGCTACCCAGTATCTCGAATGTTGTTCAAGTTCTCATCTGTGAATACACTGCTAAAGAACTGATTAAGAACGTTAGCCTTGTCCTCATGAGAGGTTATCTTTCGTTGACCTACTTTCAAATCAGAAATACCGTCGTTTATCTTCCACTTTAAACTAGCGTACAAAATTTTTTTATAGTTTTTCACTGCGGCGCGACAGACTTTAGCTTGGTTTCGAGCTCTTGCATACAGGTTATATTCAGCATCGCTGCGAGTTCGTAAATAACGCTTTTATGCTTCCTTCTTGGTCTTCAGCTGAGCTATAACTGGACTACTCTTCATCAACTGGGACTTTCTGACTTTACCGAGCTTAATCTTAGGCACACAAGCTTCAACTGCAGACATGACCGTGTCTTTGAAATATGACCATGAATCAGCCACATTACGACTATCAGAATCCGACTATCAGAATAAACCAGAAAATTTTGATTCCCCTTTTTATTTTCCTGCCTCTCAGTAACCGGAATTTAACACCATCATACAATCCATACCTTACAGGAGGGTAAACGTTTCTATTTGCGATAGTCTTCAAACGGGACAGAAAATTAAATTCTTAAGATTTCAAAGATATTTAATAAAATAATTACGCGGTATAAAAATCGTAACTGCCATCAGAAAGGGACCCGAAATAGGATATTATGTCACATGAACTAGATAATGGATGGAGTCCCTCCCCTGACTCCAACTCTTACCCAGGGGTGGGCAGTAGCGCGCTACATGTAGCGGCCGCTACTAGCGGCATCTACATTTTCAGTAGCGGTAGCGGTAGCGGGGCTACATTTAAGCAATTGTAGCGGTAGCGGTAGCGCCCGCTACATATTTATGTAACGATACGAGATTTTACCGCTACAGCGCTATCGCTACATTTATAGATAAAGCCTTTAGATTTTACTTAAAAGTATTAGATATTATTTAAAAACCAGCATGATACATACATAATATAAATTACAGAATAAAACTGTAGGGAAGATTTCGGTGTAATGTTGTTAACCTCAGCCTGTTACTAGTGTCAACATGCTAGTTGTTACTTGTTAAGTTGTTACCAGTTACCATTTACAGGTATTTTTTCATGTTTCAGTTTGCTTACAGATATTTTTATGTTTCACCTTCCCTGCATGGATGTCTACTTTAATCTACCAATCTCAAAAATAATCCACATATATATATATATAAATAAAAGACTGATTTTTTATATGTATATGTGGATAATTTTTTAGATTGGTAGATTAAAGTACACATTCATGTAGGTAAGGTAAAACATCAAAATAACTGTAACTTTTATTTACTGTATCTAACCCGAACCAGTTCGGTTAGGTTAATTGCAATAAAGTTGCATTGATATGTTTTGAAAATGTTTTATTATCATTAAATGTTTATGAGTAAATCCCAATAGCAGAACAATAAATATTTAGAGATTTCCAATAATTTAGCCCATTGTAGCGGCTAATGTAGCGGCGCTACATTTTACTGTAGCGGTAGCGGTAGCGCTCGCTACAATCTACTGGATGTAGCGTCAGCGATAGCGCCCGCTACATCTAGAGCATGTAGCGGTAGCGGTAGGGCCGCTACATTTCAAAGTAGCGCTGCCCAGCTCTGCCGTCTTACTGTATGGCCAGCATCGCTGCTCTGCTCATCTGGCTGCCGCGCTATCCTTGTGCCAGCGCTACACCAGCGCAGCGTTCCGTCCCTGCCGAGCTGTTAGAATTTTTTTCTATATTAGCCATGGCGCATCGCTGTTCTGGGGATAGATGGCCGGTTATAGTTTTACGGCTCCGTCCGTCTCAACGGCCAAGAACATCGCCGCTCGCGGCTTAGAATTTCGACTGGGTAGCCGAACATATTTGTCCGCTGCTTTGTATCAAATAAATTTCATGCGTAAATTAGTGCATATGTGAAATAGATACTTGGAGCCAAAAACAAAAGTCTGTGCATGAACGTTTATCAAATTTCTGAATTTAACTATTATTATTTTACTATTATTATCATCTGCATTGTAATAATTTTTTACATTTCTGTAGATAACTTCTTGTAATAATAAATTATGAAGGCTAGTTACATTGTATAAATTTGTTTCTCTACTGACGCGATGACGTATCTGTACTTCTTGAGCAATGTCAAGCGAAGTAGTTAATAAAATATGTAAATTACTGAGAATAGAATTCCCAATAGACAAAGAAGGTAAAAGAATATACAGCACTCCAAAGAAAGAATATGTGGCATTGTCTACATTCGTTGAAGGCTCCTTGCTAAATTTGCCACTGAAAGTTCATAGTAGAAATGATGAATATTTTTTCTGATTTGTTGCGTAAAATTCTGCAAAAAAAATCATAACTTGTGTCTATTGCAGATAGCTTACAGAGTTTTCAGTATCTGAACTACGATTGAGCGAACAAAAACGAATCATATATAATTTAAACATGGTGCAGACATAATTAAGTACTTCCCAATTTCAATTATGACCGTAATTAAATAAATACCAACAATCAATTAAGGCTGTACTAAATTATAACTCCAAAAGGTCATATTTTGCGGTCATTTCAGTATAAATTTCATTTAAATATGCTCTAATGCTATATAAACTGCTTAGAGAATAACTGTGTGGAATTATTTCATTTTACCTGCGATCAATGACGAGCATCAATAGATTATATGATTTCAAATCTTTCTTCTTAAAATAATGGACATGTTTAACAATTTTTTCTGCTCAAACATGATTATGACTACAAGACTGATTCAGATAGAATTGATATTGTGATACTCATCGACGATAGGGGATGAACTAGACATTGTTACCAGAGGAGAGTGTGTATCAGATTCTGGGTTTATAAATAAGCTTATTGTCTGGAGGCAAACGAAAATTTCCTGTGGTCACGTATTTATCTCTGCTGATGTCAACGCCGTGCGGGGGGCGCACCTCGAAGTGCTGGATGATGGCGGCGGTGAAGAGGAACAACTCCATGCGGGCCAGCAGCTCCCCCACGCACTGACGTCGACCTGTTGAGATGAAAATTCCTCCATTGAATAAGTTCAGTTAACTTCCGCTGAAGCGCAAGGGTCAACCAATTAAGTACATATCAGTAGGGATACTATACAAATAACCTGGAAAAGTTTCACTTGAATTTAATAATGATGCTGATTAAGTTAAGTACCATAAAGTTTTATCCCTAGTTCCCTAAATTTTCCTAGCATTCTATTGAATAAAGCGTAGGTAATTCTTACTCTATCTTATACTATAATATTGAAAAAAGCTGTATTGTAAAGAAGAGAAGGGACTGAGCTATGTTAAGCAATCATAAGCAGGATGTGACTAGATTGCAAAGTTAGGGAAGAAAACCGTGAGACCGAGGGTTTGTTTATTGTTTGGAATGGCGAGGGTATCGAAGGGTTGACTCTTGTGGAACTCGAAACTGTCGCGGCGTCCCGTGGTAGGCTTGAGTTCGCGACGCCCTGCTAAATAAGCATCCTAAAATTGGCGCCAAAGGGTGTTTGGTGACCGTCACGCAAGTACGGTCGGCAGTCGGCGCACGTCGTGACGACTGCGGCCGGTAGGCCGTTGGGTTCGTCGATTTCGAACATTAACAGTCGTGAAATACCTAAACTCATCGAGGTAGCAACGACTCCTGTAAGCGCGTCCAAAAAATCTACATGGAACAGCCGCGACTTTGGCATATTTATGTATGGCCAACATCAACACTACGGTCGTGACTCAACCGTGGGACAGCGCGAGAGGCCACGAAAAGTTCAACGATTATAACGCCGGCAATCAGAAGATTCAAGTTTCGAGCATTGCTCAAGAATTATATCATCGGTACGGCAAGACCACCAACCGCAGAAACACCGCAATGAGCCCGGAGTAACACCGACGATGAAAACTACGCACCTATTCAGAATTAAAGTCGTTGTAATTGTAAAACGACCTACGGCCAGACTGACCGTGAGACATTTACTATATCAGCGAGACACGACAGTTATGAAGAACAGCGACCTTGGGGACATGCGGCTACAGCTGCGGTAAGGCTACTGAAATACGGTTGCAAACGTGCGCGTGAAAGACGTACGGTCATTGCGGGAGGCGTACCATTCTACGGGAGCATTCTACGGTTCAACGTTTTCTGGTAGAAGTAGATGATTTTGTTGATGTTAACTGAACTTTTGATTTTAAACTTTGATTGTGTTCAGATTAATTTTTTCATTTACTAGAAATTTTTGTTAACGCAGGATCTTTATTTTAATTTCCCAATTTAATGTGAAATGTACCAGTGTTTCATTGCAACCTTCTCTCTGTACGATTTTTGCCGTGACCTATCCATGCGATGACTGGCATCCGCACCAGTAAGACATACGTGCCAACCTGACAAACGATAAATTATGAGAATCTGGAACCATAACGGGTATTACATTAGATTAAGTGAAGAATAATCACTCCGATTGTTCAACATAAAAATATTAGGCGATAGAAAAAACCTTTCTTTAGTCACAATTTGGGCTGAGGGGAGAATAAAATATCCCATATTACGGCAAATCGCTTGCATCTTTTACCACACCATTAGGTCAGTAGCCATCTTCACTTTTTTTAGTAACAAACTTTTCAGAACGTGTAGCACAAATATCCTATTATTCCGGATAGATTTAGTTTAGTGGCAGCTGAAAAAATATTCACGAAAAAAGTATAAAAAATTTAAGAAATTTATCGCTACTAAGTTTTGCGAACGGAGCAGTCACTGGTTCAGCTGTAGCTCCGCATGACCTCACTACATACCTTACTGATTTATCACTTTACTACCAATAATATACAAAAAAAAAATGTTTACTAATCTGTCAGAAAAACATAACCCTAGTCAAATTCTCACCAGAACCGAAGGCAAAGAAGCCCTGCTTGGGGGCCGTGTACTTGGTGGCGCTGTTGTCCAGGAATCGTTCAGGGTAGAACTTGTGGGGGTCGTCCCAGTAGCGCGGGTCGTGGTGGATGGAGTAGATGGCCACTTCCACTGTGGTGCCCTGCGAGGAAATGAAAAACATTAGGTTTCTAAGAACAGACGCTCTACTGATTGTTTCTATTCCTGAATTTTTCATGCAGCCCGATGGTCCGAACAAGCTCATAAATAAATACTGAAGAAACTATTCAAATGTTAGTGGAGAATTTCAAGCGTCACCAAGGCCTAACTTCTTATGCTGTCGACTAATAACGAACGAATGTGAGCAAGTTTAGATGAAGTGTAAATAGCACAGATTTAATATATGAAATCATGACTAGCACATGTGGACGAAAAATTAAAGTTTCAGTGAATATTTGTAATTAGTCCCGTGCTTATTTGGAGAATCGTTATCGGTTCACCTTGGCGACGAAGAAACCATCGATGATCGTATCAGAATCGGCTGCTCTCGGAACGTTGAAGAACGTCATGGCGGAGTACCGTAAAACTTCAACAGTGAATGCCTCAACCAATGGCAAGCTAGGGGGATGATTTGAAGTGCGATCAACAGCAGATTTTCTCGCTTCATATCATCCTATTGCTGAATTTGGTTACTCGATTAAACCATTTACTGAGTTTAATTTGTAGCTTAATGGAAAGAAATCAACCAATCTGAGGAAAATAATGTATGTAATGAAGCCAAATTGAAAATTTTCTAGTTATTGAACCTGACCAATTGCTGGATTTCTATAGGATTTAAAAGAGAATTGTTGGCTTCATGAACAGGAAAACCTGAGGCCCCAGGAGTTGAATGCTATATTTCGGAATTGAATTGTATCACGGTTATATTCTTTCGTTACAGCGATAAATGTTTTATTAAACCTTTTTTTTACTTTATAATCAGTACCTCTGTTCATAAGAATTAAATATGATCTTCGCTCTCTTTTGATTTACAATTAAGTCAATCTTAACCATTACACACATTTCAACAGGTTCAAGAAAGTACCTCGGTTTATCGTCGAGCGACACCATGCGGTCCCTGGGCACGACGGCGTCTATTTGCTGCTGCATCCTCGTTGCGTACTCTGGATACCGGGCGAGCAGGTAGACCACCCACTTCATCATGTTGTACACCGTGTCTGAGCCCGCGAAGAAGAGGTCGCTGACGATTTGGTTCAAAGCTGAGAGGAAGAATAGAGTTGCTCGAACAATTTTAGAGACTCTGGATTATGTTAGCAAATGAATTTATATATTTACTGAAAATGCAACAAGCTCGGTGGTCGGATTTTCGAGATCCAGATTGGAGCAGCAATTTATAGGTTTGAAAACTGTAAGGTGGGTCGGTGAATTAGAACAGGCAACCTGTCAAAAAGTTTAACAAGCTGTAACTACTATATTATTATACCGTTGATCATGTGTTCTCATCAAGCTCATTCATATACAATTCCATGAACTGAACAACATTCAAATTGCACATTGTCCGGGTAGATTACCTCCTCTCCTGAAGAGGGAGTTGTCTTCGCCTTCGCTCTCCTTCATATCTTTGATGTACTCGTCTATGAGGTCCCGGGGGTTGTCGGGGTCATAGTCCTCCAGGTGCTTGTCTACGACTCCCTATTACCGATAGATAAAACCAGAATAAAAACATACTCTCTATACAAATTGTCAAAGTTATACCTTTGTTTAACTAAATAAATAGAGGGCATATTGAAAAAGAAAAATTTCGTTTCCACTCCATTAATGGCAAAGCAGATGGTGTTTCACTTGATTGGGGGAGACGTAGGGAAGTAAAGTGATGAATGTGAAGAATCTGAATCACATGATGGAGCAACATTCAATGCATCGAAGAATATTTTGCTGCAAGCAAATAATGAATTAGAAGCTATAGATATTCATCTTATATGAAGTTTTTGACGAATATTTAATTGAAAAATTTGTTTTATAACTATTTAATAAGAAGGAAACATATAATTATCAAAAAGAATTTTATGAGTACATATTTTTTCAAAACTTGAAATAAAAATATCGTGATTCATATGAACTCACTTAGTAAAAATCAAATGTCATTATTTTAGGGAACCTGAGCAGCTTTCCGGGAAGAATACGACAGCCAAGGCCAATGCTGAACTTTATAGAACCGTGCAATAGATTAACATTTTTTATTCTCTTCGTGATTTGTCTCACTTGTGAATATTAGGTAAAAGACAAGTTATCGTATGTATTATTTGAAAATTTCGTTGTTCGCTGTTGTTTTAAGATACAGTATGTGTTGTGAGATAGACAACTGTGCGTAAGTGTGAGTTTGGCCTGAACGGTTAGTAGCTGTACGAAAATTGAGGTACGGTGTAGGTTAGGGAATGAATGAAAGGGTGGGGATGAAAATTTATGCGGGAATACGTCTACAAGGTGAATCACCACGATGAGAAGTGTCCTTATGGGGGGTGGGTATTGAAAACCACCCGAACTCCAGAGCGAGCTTGCCCGGGTTCCGTGCCGTGACGCGTGAAGGCTGACTATCTTACGTCTGGCCGGCGTGGTGCCACAGGGATGTCGTGCGATCACAGGCCTAAGACGAGCTGCACCACACTACAGCCATGCACTAGAGCACATGCCATCAATGAACTTTGGCTACTACCAGCAAGCTCTCTGCTATTTATAGCGCGACCTCAAAGAAGTGAACATAATACATTATGAAGTGCTGTCAATTTAAACATTTTCTCTTTCAATTTTTTATGACAAATAGACTTTTTTTAGACAGCTCATCTCCATTCTATAAATGCATCACATTCAATCATTTCGATGATATTTCTTTATGGAGTATAAATTTCTGACCGAAAGATATACTCTCACTAAACTATTAGTTACCTATTATTGATCTCATCAATATTAGACACATCAAGGGAAGGTTACAGACAGGCGACGAAATTTTAACTGGTACTGGTAATAAAGATCTATCAAACTACAGAGACAGTAATTCAGACTGTACAGAAACCAAATTTTACTCATAACGATAGCGATACTGGCTGTCGCTGGCATAACGACAGCGAAGTCCCTCAGTCTGTCAGTCCATGGAAAGGGTGGGTGTAAGGAGAGGGTGGGTGTGAGGTGTAAAATTGTGAGGCTCTTTGTTCCCACATGGTCGAGGCTTACTCGACTGAATACACACACAATGACCCGTATAACGAATATTTAACATCTACACATCATTGGCAATGCAAGGGAACATGTTGTTTAAGTAGAAATTTTTAAGCTGCACTTCCATTCGCTTGAGCCACAACATCGGTTCAAGATCAACATCAGTAACATCTATATCTTCTAAACCGCATTTTTTCACTGAGCGGCGAATTTTATTTTGTAAGCCTTCTATCGCTGAAGTTTCCCTCTCTCGGCCCAACGCTAATTGGTATGTAGCGAGTCACTCAAGCCATCCATTATTCTGTAGGCAGCCAACTGCTTGTTTGTTGTTTTTCTCAATTTGCACACAGTTCTTCTTGAGCAGTGACTTGCATGCTTTCGAAAGCTGTTTCGATCCACTTGTCACAGACACGTTGCTCGTATTTATGATATGTGTTTTGAGTGACGAAAGGAACGCTGAGTGATCCCAAAAATTTTGAAGCTTGCGACCTTCCGGTGCCTATAGCTAGGGCTCCTGAAAATGCCGAATAATTTGATAAATGCACTCCACCCTCAGGACTTTCTTCTTCAGCTCTGACACACATTTTTAATTTGCACATACCACATTCAAATTGAAAAGTTACGTAAAGCCTTCGTCGGACCTCTCTTACAAAAAGGAAATTGTAGAATAAACACATGTTCGTATTGTGCAACGCCATTTACACACATCGGTAAAAAGATTTTTGACATCGAAGAGCCTCCTACCACTTAATGATTGTAACGCATTTTGGAACACTCGAAGAATATCACTGCTATAATTAGGCACGTCACTACTATTGGGTGGCTCAGCATTCTGCACGCCCGACTCTTAACATAACATAAAATAGTGATCTCGGCGCTGAAGTGTAGGCCTGATGTGGCCTGTCGCCAATTCTTTTCCTTTTCGTGCCTTGCTCTCAGAAGATCTAAAATCGTGTCATTTGACCGGATCTTTTCATGACTGACGATAGTTTGAAATAGCTACTCGACTTCCACCGGGTTCGATATGGTGCTAGGCATTTCAAATCTGAACATATATTTTTCCATAGCTTTATCTAGTCTTTTCTTGAACGCGTTCATACTTGGAGCGCCAGCGATGTCATCGGGGAGGCTGTTCCACATATCGGTGATTCGAAGCGAGAAGAAATGTTGGCGCGTGGAGAAGTTGCAGCGCGGTTTTTTTAGTTTATGGCCGTGGCCCCTGGTGTTGGTTCTTGTTTCAAATTCTAGTAATCTTTCGGGGACCTTGTATAAACCATGAGTATACTTGTATACTTCAATAAGTATCTTCACTGCTATTAGTTGGCTCAGCGTTCTGCACGATCGATTCCTCACTGTTATTAGGTGGTTAAGCATTCTGCACGCTCGATCTCTGACTTTTCTATTCCTTTGACTTTCCTATCACTAAATCACTCAAATCGTCTTCATCGCTTATACAATTCACTATTGTAGCTGTATTGTCGACGACATTCTCGATTAGAGCCGATGCTTATAGAACAGTCAGGAGATTTTGTTGTTTTCTGCGGTGCATCGATATAGCATTAATTGTAGTTATATATAAACATGGGCTGTACTTCATCACAATCATTGGCATTTACCATTATTGCGATGAATATTGGCTTTTACCATTCATCTATAACAAATAAAGAAACTTTCAACATCTTTTTTAGAGACCTCTGACTGATGAGATTCAAATCTTGTTATAACCATGATAAGTAACGACTGTAATAAATCTTACCTTCATCTTTTCAATTGGAGACCTTTATTGATTCGTGGTGATGAAAGACACAGTTTTTTTCGATTTCTTGTTTAATATAAACGTGCTAGTTCTTTAATACCAACCAGTCAGGAGGGTAAGGAGGTTAAGTAGGCTGACCCTCTACCTCCAAGGAAGAGGGTATAGACGAGGACTATGCTACTTCACGCGAGCTGATTTATGAGCGTCAAAGAAGGTATCGCTAGAACGGTACGACACTTTTAACATGCTCAGGGCCAGCTTCCGAAGAAAATGGAAAATCTACTATTCAGGAGTGATGAGAAAGTATTTGTTAGAATATTTCTACAAATAGAGGGTGATTCATATTTTACTTGGATACCGATCAATAGAGAATAAATAGTACTACTTCATTATGTCTCATAAATTTAGGTAAGTCGCACCACTCGCATGTATAATGAACATCGATGTGCAATATTTTACTTTATCATAACTGATGTTATACAAAATTTACATATATTTTTAACTGTAGGAAATAGTAAGTAAATAGCTGAATAAACATGAAACAAATTTAGATTAATATTTTTTTTACGAGCGGAGTTATAATGACTATACGTAGTGATAGATTCTCATTGGGATTCAGCCAAGCCTGCCTGAGGGCTCGCGGTTCTCAATCGGAATTGTTTTCCTATTTCTAAAATTTCTTCTTGGATGTACCAATAAGAAATAGGGCATATACAGTATATAGTGGAAAAAAAATTCATGAAACGTTAGTACGTTGCCTTAGATAAAATTTACTTACGCTCACAATGTTCTTCATTTCTTCCACGAAATTCCTAAAAACGTCATCCCCAAAAATTGCAGATTTTATAGAACTTGGCAATTTATTGAGAGCAGGAATGAACAATGGCAGACTGGACCATCCAGTTAGAATTCTTCGAAGTTTCTCGGTCAGGCGGTAAATGGTTTCAACTTCTTCGGAACGCAGGTCGTACCGAGTGCCTAAGAGAAAGAAATTAACTTAATTATTTCCCTTGCAATGATATTTTGTTGGAATACTTTACAGTTCAGTGCAGACTGAGCACCTGGCAAGAACCAGTACGTGTTATGCAAAAAATTTGATGACAAATATAAACTATATGAGATATGATGTTAGAACGAAAATTATTGATTACATATACTTACATGCATCAAGTTGTAACTTTGATAAAGATATCCTGATATTCAACAAAATACATTACTAACTGGCCACCATCTGCCAGATGATGTTGAGCGCCACAGTCCTGAAGCTGTCGGGGTAGTTGATGGCTTCACCGCCGTACTTCTTGAGGTCTTCTACCAGAGCCTTGGCTTCGATGTTGATGGCTACCTCCAGGTAGCATTTACCCATGCCTGAAGTAATTGCACCTCAATTTGTATAATTTGAATAATATAACCAAGGTTTGAGGTACAGAATTACCCCTAGATGAAAACAGTGGCTCTAATAAAATTAAGAATTCAATTCCGTGAACGATAGTTGATCATTAGCTGGAGATGAGCAATGAGGATTTCATATCTCCAAGAATCTTGCAACTGGTTTTGAATCAACGTTGAACAAAACACCATAAAATATTTCAGAAATACTTGGTAAAGAAACGAATGAAATCAGCGAGTAATTTTCAATTTTGTTGCTAGCATCAAAAAGTTTTTTAATTAGAAATTTCCTGCATATTGATAATTATTTGACACAAATCTCACCGAGGTTGCGGAGGTTGCGCAACACAAAGCGGCGGTCGTGCTGCCAGTGTACGCCGTTGCTGCCAACCACGCCTGGCAGAGATAAGAATATCAGCGGCTAAGCAATGTTAAAAGTGAATGTTTCCGAGATTATTATTCCAATGGAGTTGGTGAATATCTTCTATTCAAGCTACACTCTAATTAGGAAGTAGTGGAAATTTTTAAAAGTGAGTTAAAAGATTAAATTATTCGAAGTTTTTGGCAATGCCACGAATAATATCAAATAGAGATTTATGGTTTCAATTTCGAATATAAAAACATATGGCCCCAAAAATCATTGTACCATTCTGAATTACATATTTATTTCGGTCAATATAAACTTTAACCTCCAATTTTTTGATCATCTATGCTGATGACAGATATAAAGTCTGGGCGATTAGAGAACTCCATTTTTGCCAAGGTCTCCCTGGCTGTGTTGTAGTCGAACAGGAACACCGACCGCGTCGGGCCAGTCCGATACCTGCGTTATTAGGGCACAACTAGTATAAAGAAAATAAATATACGGTATCAATAATTTATTATTTTTAAAAGTAACCTAATTTCTATTCATCATGGTATCAACGTTTTTTGTTTACAGCCAAAAATACGTTTTTTGTCGCATTAAAATTGTTCAATTCAAATCATGCATATTACATGAGTTATTGTCAATAATAACTTTTTAATTTTTGTTATCCTATTCCCAACAGATTTCTACTTCATTCTTATGTCTATAAATTTATTTAGAGATCGTGATCGATCACCGTGATCACCGTAGCATGACTCACGTCACCGTAGCATGACTCACGATCACCGTAGCATGACTCACGATCACCGTAGCATGTCTCACGATCACAGTAGCATGACTCACGATCACCGTAGCATGACTCACGTCACCGTAGCATGTCTCACGATCACCGTAGCATGACTCACGATCACCGTAGCATGACTCACGATCACCTTAGCATGACACACGATCGCCGTAGCATGACTCACGATCATTAAATAAACGATCTCGAATAAACGATCGTGATCGTCATTATTTATCACGGCCTTCGCGGCCGTGATAACATTTATAGCGGCCATATTACCATAACTCATGACCATACTACCATAACTCATGAACATACTACCATAACTCATGCCCATACTACCATAACTCATGCCCATACTACCATAACTCATGACCATGCTACCATAACTCATGACCATACTACCATAACTCATGTCCATACTACCATAACTCATGACCATACTACCATAACTCATGACCACACTACCGTAACTCATGGCCATACTACCATAACTCATGGTCATACTACCATAACTCATGCCCATACTACCATATTTCATGGCCATACTACCATAACTCATGCCCATACTACCATATTTCATGGCCATGCTACTATAACTCATGACCATACTACCTTAAATCATGGCCATATCACTAACGACATAATATCTCCGTATTTTTTGCGTAGATGTTCGCCCACTTCTGCGTTGGGGATCGGCAGTCGTCCGAAAAAAGGGATTTCCACGGGACCTGCAATGGGATTAGTTAAGATAAGTTGATGCGGGATTGTTAAGAGTTTCAGTGGGATTTAGTCCTCTATCTACCCCCGTATAATGATTTCTGATCGGTGAGAAAACACAAGTGTATTTTAAGTACCCTTATTGAGAAAACACAATTGTGTTTTCTTTATATAATAAAATATCTTATTTTCTTTATATATTCTATCATAGAAATTAATTTATTAATGTGAAAAGTTTAACATATTAAATATTTAGAAAGATTTGTTTCAAAATATAATTAATAAATCTCCATTTACTTCGCAGTTCGAGAGTCTGAACCAAGATTTCACATATATATGCATATTTTGAATTTTACAAACCGTTAAAGTTTTACGCTTTTCTTCGTCAGTTGGCAATATAATCGCAATGTTACTGAAAGCTTGCAAGGTTCGACTAGGGACTCACCAGGGGGGCAGTTGCGGGGGCGCCTGTCCCTCAGCACCGCGTACACCAACACCAACACAAACAACAACACAATCTCCACCAACATCTTGTGGGCGGAGAAACTTGAACTTTCGCTGTGGGCGTCAAATTACGTGGGTCGAAAGCTGCTTTAGTTTAGTAATAGTGATAGCTTAATGGCATTTGTTGCAGTGTTATGGAAACTTAGCTGAATTATTTTTAATATTCTATATGTAATATTTCTAAAAAATTTAATGTTGTTAACAACTTGAGAAAGAGGCATTGCGTTGAAGTCGAAAATAATGAGCTAAAATTTTCGTGATCACTTCATTTGCATCTCAGAAAACGCAGGCATTATATTTAAGCCCTGATAATATAGCTAGTCAATTATTGACCTTAGCAAGCAGATCAACCGGCGTCTTCAAATCGGTTAAATCGAGTCTAGGAGCTTTTCTTAAAACACCCAATTTCCTCCATTAAAAATATTATTCTTGATGAAAATTGAAATCTCAGATTTAAAGAATTATCTTAACTCGACAGAATTCAAATCCTTAACAAGTAAAGTTATTAATACTGCATAATAAATTGGTTAATTACTTGTTAACAATCGCTATAAATAAAAGAAATCGAATATAATAACATTATTCTTCTGTAGGACTTAAATTTATCTTTCTCTGAAACGACAAAAAACTGAAACACATCATAACCGAGAAGTCCATAGTTACTGAGCAATTCAATAGAGCAAAGATGCTGCGCAGTTCTCCCCACGCGCCTTTGAATCAAACTGAGCAGCGCCAACACGCACCACACTCAGTGAGTGCAGGAAGCACACTGAGCGGAGGCCTTAGTATCCTTAAAGACTAAGGACTAAAAGAGCGGAGGCCACCGCAACAGATATTCAGACAAGATGCCCACACTTGGCCTGCAGGACACATTCGCCATTCGGAGACTAAAATAATTGTACAGAACTTTATGCAACTGCTATAGCAAGTATCACAGGCCACTGTAGCAACGGCCCGCAACGATCACAGGCCACTGTAGCGTCATTGACGTTAATCGAAACCAGCTTGCAAAATTTACAAATTTCCTCTCGCTCATTTTGCGATTTGATCTTCGCATTCGGTTTAACAGGACTGGAAGCCTTCTCAGTTAATCTTTTTCCTCTCTGACCAGCCATCTTGAAATGCAAGAGCTAGATAAACACAAGTTAAATACCGAAATCAAGTTGAGTAAAAATTGTACAAATTGTTTGATTGTTCAAAATTGTTACAGACTTGAGAGCAAGCGGCGATCTCAGCGGCTTAGGTGTTCAAGGGAAGAGCTCGGCTAGGAAGAGGTAGGCGCGAGAACAAAGGCTTATTGTCCCGCGTGGGCCAGGGCGTGGGCGTTACCCTCACGGCAACCCTCACTGACTCTACAAGTCCTTGTTATTTAAAATGAAAAACACTTTCACTTGTTTGGCTTGTTCGTTCTATTTGCACTCACTTTTACTGACTTCACTGAACTGAACTGAAATTCGGTTATTCTCTGGCACGGAGCATAAAAAAAATGCGAAAAGAGTTCCGAAAACGGCACAGTAAAAAGTTAAAAATTTAGAAATTTGGGACCACGAGCACGAGCGTCCTCTCTCGACCACGGCTTAACGGAGCATCCGAATAACAAAGCATCCGAATAAATATTCTGACAACGCTCGCAGGAGCGTTTCTCGTTGTTGAAATTGATTTCCTTGAAATCAATGAATAGCTTCGTCGTCACAAAAGTTTACGTGCGATGTCTATAAACGCAATACGCAGCATTTGTCCTGTCGCCAGCACACAGCAAATAAACAGCGAAGAATAAACCGCTGCCATCATCATATTGTACCGATGCTTCTGTGAAACAATTTTCTGTCGGCTCGATAAAAAAGTTTCATCGTTTATATATGTCTACTTTTTATTTTAAAATTAAAAAAGTTAATGATATGGCAGTTTTTGTAACTGGTAATTACGATTAGCGTTATATTTTATATATGAATTGTATTTACGACAGTTTAATGATACAATTAGAATTATCTACTATTGTATGTCTACTTCTACCCACAGCACCGTTACCATGCCAGAGATATGCAGGTTGAATCACCGCCAAGCAGAGAGCACAAAGCCGCTACACAGTCCACCCGACCGCTCCCTGCACGTCGGCAACACAGAACAAGTACGGAGCGTCATGACACACAACATCCTCCCACGAGAGCTGGACGCCCACTGAGCTATCATTCCTTGAAGGAAGGCCACCGCCAACGATGTAGAAGGGCCCCATGCATGACCTACCGGACATGTTCGGGCCAGATGGGTCTTTGTAGGTACATTCTTCTAGGATTAGTAGTTATCACTAAATCAGAGTGAATAATTGGACTGCTTGAAATTTATTCTGAATTCAAGTTAATCTCTGGAGACATAATTTGATTACAAAGTTTCCAAACATTTACGCACTACTCAAGGATGGAACTTTAAAGATTGAAGTCAACGATAATATCGGCCTTGAAGAATAAGCAAGATTAGACTGTCGCCGAACGTTCGTTGGCCAATATTCAAAATAAAGAAACATTTGCTTCTATTTATATTGATAAGGAAGCAATGAATTAAAGAAACGGTCCAGTAACACTTTTTATGTACTTCTATTGAGAACGTTTTTGCCAACGATTAATGTGTGCAGTTAATTAAAAATTCCGGCAGCAAGCGTGGGTGTTTTGAGTGGAATACTCTGAATGCGTGCAGCGAACGTGAGCACCGTAGAATAGAAGTGTCGGCGCTGAAGAAATAGGCCCATGGCCTGTTGTATTATTTGTTCCTCAACCTTGCATTATTTGTGACTAGGAACAAAATTAATTAGCATCTGTGATGAACAGTCATCACATATATGATGAAAGTAAACAGTTATATTGGACGTACGCAGCTATAATGAGTATAAACAATTATTCTCGATGTACTCCAAAACGAACACATTCAAAGATAGAACAAAATGTCCGTGGAGTTTTAGAGCAATCGTGATTTTCTACATTCGCTCCCGACGAGTTAACGTAAGACCATTAAGTTCACTTGGACGTTTGCAGTCGTTCATCTTTTAACACTTACATTTACAGCTCTCGATAATTCGATGTTGCTTATATACATTTATATGTTGTTACTTTGTACATTTACGTTGTTGCTCTGTACATTTACAGCTCTCGATAATTCGTTGCTGCTCATTTACATTTATACGTTGTTGCTCTGTACATTTACGGTGTTGCTATGCACATTTACAGCTCTCGAATTCGTTGTTGTAAGGTTTGAGGTCACATACAGAGTGTTGCCTCGAATGCACAGAGTCTTCGTTCATAAGTCAGCTCGAGTGACAAAGTCATAGTAGAAGTAATCACACACATCTCCGCTATACTGTAAAAATTAATGTGTAATATTGTCCAAGAAATAACATATCTTGTAGCCCATAGCACGTGTAGAGATAGAACGTTACGCAGATGAGCATTTTTCTGGCCATACTGGTTCAGCGTACAAACGCAAAGTGTGAATATGGACAAACTCCCACTCATTTATCTGGGTGCAGTTGTCTGGTGAAGGTTGTGTGTCTTAGGGCAGACGAGTCCGGCCATCTTAGCTCATTGAACTAGAACTCTGATTTTATTAATATTATATACGCAATACTTATGTGAATGTTGAATTATTAAATCTGTTCATGAATTAATTACACTTAATTTATTTTTTTGTTTATTTCTCATTCTACTTGCCTAGAATATAATTTAATAATTTCATGAATATCCACGTAAAATTGTCAAAGTTACTCATTATGCATCTAAATCATGAAGATATTTAATAAATTTTATTCCGTCCTTAATTAAAGGCTGGTGATAAAAGCCTCCTCAATAGAAATATAGAATAGAAAGCAATTACAGCTCTCAATACAGTAAATCATTAATAATTTTAGCCCTTTTTAATTCATTTTAAATATTACTCGTTTGATAAAAGTGCGGTGTGTGAGAAAGTGTGTTATTATTTGGACAATATTACCCATTTACTTTTCTTATTGTAAAGTGATGTTCACAATTATGACGTTGTTACTTGAGCTGAACGAAGACTCAATGCATTCAAGCCATACTCAACATTTGACCGCAAGTCTAACAGCTGGTAGACGATTTATTAATAACTTAGAATGCACGCGACTACAGATGAAGGACTGCAAACGTCCACGAGAACTGAACGATCTTATCCGATAACTCATCGGCAGCGACTGTGAAAACTCACGATAGCTCGAGATATTCACGATGATTTTATATTTGTTTGGAATGTGTTCACCTCCGTGTAGATTTATTCTAATTATGTAAACTAATAACAGGTGTGTACGCTCACGATTACTGTTTAATGTCATCACATTTTGGATAATGTTCGTCACAAATGCTAATTATTGCTGTCCCAGTCGCAAATAAGAAAAGGTGTTTACGTCCGCTGAACGCACTCAAAATATTGCACGCCGAACACACACGATAGCTGGCCAAATTTTTAATTAAATGCTCATATAAACGACAGCAAATACTTTAAAAATAATTTTATATTAAAAATAGGACGGTACCTAGTATTTCTGCAACACTTTACTACCTTATCAACGAAAATGTCAAGCGAGTACTTAGAAATTCATGCTTAAAAATTCCCTCCCTGACGAACTTATAACTATTATGAAGCAATGTGATTAATTTTTTCTTTTTCGGCTAACTTATCCAAAATCCGGCTAAGTTATCAATAGAATCCGATCATTTACGTAGATTTAGCAATAATTACCAATCAAAGAGGAATGGACCGATAAAAAATCTTTAATAATTATTGTTCCCATTCATTGCCCGAACATGTCCGGCAAGTCTTACATGAAGCTCTCCTGCATTGCTGCGGTTGCCTTCCTTCAAAGCTCAAGGAATGATTGCTCAGTGAGCGTCTTGCTCTCGTAGGAGGATGTGTTATTGTATGACGCTCCGCACTCGTGCTGTTTTGAAGGCTATTGCTGTTGACATGTGAACTGCGCAGTTGCTTTGTACCTCAGTTGGAGCGGTGATTTAACTTGCATATATTTGACTTGGTGACGGTGCAGTGGGTATAAGTAAGGGTAAAACAGGAAAAAATTGTTTACTGCTTAGAATTTTGTTTGTAGTATTACATTGTTGTAATTTTAAGTGATATACAACATTCGTAATAATCAATGTCTTCTTGTTAGTGGTATTCACTATTTGCTAATGCGATTATGATGAATTATGCAATGCTCGCAAGACTAAACTGATCTGGAAGGTTAGCCCGGTCATTTTCGGTATTCCATATTCCTTTTCCCTGAATGAAGTAAATAATTTTTAAACTATTAAGTTCGTTAATTTAAGGGAATCCCATTAAAACTAAAATTCAGCATGGAATTCCGGTAAAAGATTCAACTGAATTAATAGATGTCAAGATTAAACTGAAAATTAAATTAGTAACATAGAGAGATAATTATATTTATACATTGTTATTGTTTCAGTCGAACTGTAATATTCAATAAAAAAATAAACTTCATGCAGCACACTCAACTTAGCGCCAGCTCGATCCGTAATTCATCAACTGGTCTCCCTGAAACCACTTATCTGATAATAAACCTACGCGCGGCCTTAGTCAATCTTATCACACGCGGCTGCGACAACATTCTTTATAAACTTGTTTGGGAAATATTGTGTGTACTTCCGTCAATATTTGGACCTACATATAGATGACCGAATTTAATTTAAAATATTCGGTTTTAGCTCGTAGTAATTTCATTCTGATTATTCAAGTAACAGAGATGTCTATACTAGACCTATATCATATCAGGTAGAATATTGGGATCGAAATCATTTTCTGGCCAGAATATCAATTTTTGGTCATTTTATAGTCACTTGAGAGTATGACAAGGGTTGGCCGAGCTGAGTCATGCCGATCTTGCAAGCTGCTCAGTGGTTGCCTTCGAACCCTGAGATGAGCGGCTGATTTACGCGCTCCTCCAGTCCTAGGCGGCCCTAATGCAGAGTCGCGCACGTATCTAAATTTTGTTAGGATACACAATTACTATAATAGTATTCTTCATTATTGGTTCAGTAATTATTGAGGTTTTTTTATTATCAAATATTTTATTGTAGTATTATTTGTTACTAATCCACGGTATATTATAGCATTATTATTTAATGCTGTCTATTTCCGTATGATGTTAGTGTCATTTAATGTTTTTTATTATAGTGACTATTTGGTCGAAGCTAAGACGGTCCCCGAATTTTGATAGGTTTATACTGTTTATTTCAAATTTATCTTGCAATTACCGGAAAAATGATGTGAGTAAATGTGAACTACATTTTGCTTTATGAAATATATTTGCTTTATAAACTTTTTTTGTAAACGGCCATTGGCGTTTTTTATTATTATTTTCTTCACAAGGTGACATTAAATAACTTCTTTAGGCGGGTAAGTTTACTTTTTGAATTTAATGATTACCAAAATACATAGTATAATTCTACCGAATATAATATGGGCCTGCTATAGACTTAATTAAATGATAAGAACGAAATTCAGCTTCGAATACTGAAAAAAAAAATATTTTCCTTATGAATTCTCCTTGCAAGAATTGGGTAAATAAGAATCCTTTGTAAAGGTTTATGATCTGATAAGTGGTATCAGTGATACCAGTTGCTGCTGCACGGATCGAGCTGGCGCTAAGTTGAGAGTCTTGCATCAAGTTTAAATTTTTATTGAACATAACGGCTTTATAAAAATATACAAAGATAAAAATTTTCATATTTTACTAGTAAATTAGCCCGGACTTCGCCGTTCTTCCGAATTCCTTCACCCGAAATGCAGTTATTAACAAATGTCTTTTTCAAAATTAAACGAAACTTGAAAATGTTTCTTTTTTATATAATTTGCAATTGTCAAAGTAGAAACCACATTTCAGGTTTTTAATCTCTTTCTCTCAGTTCAACACTTCACTTTAACTTCATTTCTTGTTCTTCATTTGTTTGTCTGCTACAAATCTTATCGATATTCAATTAACACACTTCTACTTGTCCAAGCAAAAGGAAATTTTGCACACTTGTATAAAGTCGGAGACAATGCTTGTATCAATTGACAGAATAAATGATTAAAAAAATTAAATTAAAACAAAAATGACAAATAAATATTTTTAAATATTCAACAATCAAATAAAAAAACCATTGTACATATGGAACATCGGAGAAACTGGCCTCTTTATGTGTTTTACTTGAAAAAAGGAATTTTTAAACGCATATTATTTTTCAATTCAGTACAATTTCATTACCAGGTGTAATATTTCAACATGTTAAGTATCCTGGATACTCGCTAGAGCAGCCCCTATATATGTATTTTTTACACCAGGCTTCAAATACACTAACAAAATTTGAAAAATTTACTATGATTATGTAAGTTTGTTTGCTGAAAGAAGGCGACCGAAAATATGTAAAGGATTTTCGAGTGGGTATCTACAATATCGCTGTAATTAAAACCTCATGAGCTGGTATTCGAGGTTTTGTGTGGACACAGTACGTGGAATAGATAGGTATTTTGAACGCAATTCAAAGATTGAAATTCACTATAGTAGTATTCAAACTGCCATCTCTTCAATCGCCGTGCATTCGATTTTACGCAATAGCATCATGATAATCATCCATTCCGATTTTCATCCTATATTCCGAGTTATTATCTACTCAGTTTTACCGCCAAATATCTTTGATACCGCAGAGTTATATTTCTGCCCGTCATGTGAGTCAATGTCGTCGCAATTGTCATATGTTTAACACGTAACCATGCTTTTCAACTGCAAGGGTTGATTTTTCACTCGGCTTAACAAGTTAAACTTATGGCCTAAAGCGCCGAGTTAACTCGATGCATTCTGTTATTTAGCATCTCAAACAGTAAAGGATTAGCTTGCTGTAAACATGCCCTTGATAAGAGATTGATAGTCAAACTAGTAAGATATAATACCGCAAGTATGTTAGCTGAAAGAGCCAGTGTCTTGAAAGTTATCAGAGCAGGTGGGGGTTGTTGAATGATCTTGGAGCGGAGTGATCTTAGTGATCTTGGAGCGGAGTTTGTTGCTTGTTCACACGTAGATAGATAGTTTGTGTTGATTTCATGGGACCTAAACAACCTATTACATAAGTAAATAATCTTAAATAATCTATTTTACAGTTCCTGAGCTCATGCAATTGTCCATCGAATTTGAACATTCTGTTAATTATTAATGATCATATAAACAGTATTTCATTGATATGAAAATGTATAACAAATTTAGTATCAATGATAGGCCTGATATCTAGAAATAAATAGTAACTATCGATTCAAAATTAAATGCATCCTTTGACGAGTTACATAAATAGTGAAGTTGAAAAACTTTTTGAAAATACAATAGCATATTACATTAAACAAATATTCAGCGATTGTTTCATTCATATGTTGAACACGTAACAGATATTGAATAAATCTTCTAATGCAGATTAATATTAATTTGTTTGGAAATTTATAGTAAAAAATTATTGTTAAGATGTGGGTGGAGATTGTGTTGTTGTTTGTGTTGGTGTTGGTGTACGCGGTGCTGAGGGACAGGCGACCCCGCACCCTTCCCCCTGGTGAGTCCTATTCATTCTCACTTTTTTCATATTCAGTTTTATTGACATTCCGAACAGCAATATTTATTTATTAGCTCACCCATGTTGTGAATCAAAACTTACTAATGACAATAATTTGTGTGTAATTGACATCGCTTAGGCAAATTATTTTACTGCGTAATTCATCAATGATTTCGATTACAAGCGAATGAACGATTAAAAGTCTACCGGAAATTCTTGGATATTCGACCGTATCTCTCGCTCCGTAATTCCTGATGCAGGTCCGGTGGAGATCCCATTCTTCGGACGACTTCCGATTTTCGATGAAGAAAGTGGCGAACGCTTACGAAAAAAATACGGTGATATTGTCTCGTAAGTGTCGACTCGATCTCTCAAATACCACAATTAGTAATATTTACGTAGTGATTAAAGTTCTAAACAAATCTTGCATGCACGTTGAATTTCACGTAAACATAATGAGAACTCACCGCATGTCATCGCCTGATCAGGAAATGTGTCAATCCCATTTGCATGATCCCACTATAAATTCTGAAATTTTAACGTTAGTAGGAATTTTATATTTATCGATTTATTCTCGATTGAATAACATATTTCTCTTACTCTTCTGTAATCTCTGTTACTATGGCAAAATAATAACTATTTTGTGATTACAATATATTACATAAATAATATAGGTACATAAATATTACAGGTATCGCACTGGGCCCATCCGCACGGTGTTCCTGTTCGACTACGACACTGCCAAGGAGGCCATGGCAAAAGTTGAGTTCTCCAACCGCCCCGACTTCTTCTCGGCATTAAGTGTGGACGATCAGAAAATTGGAGGTGGAGTCCGAGCACGATTTTTAATATTTTGATCTCAGGAACCTTCGTTTCATGTTGGACTTAATGTACATTCTGGAAAAAATGCAGTTCTGTTGTACATAATTCCATGTATTCATTATTTTTTTTTTAATTTCGCCATGAGCCACACAATTCGAAACTTTATCAGAATTTTTCGACTGGGAATTTTTATATCTTCTATCAATTTCGTTGTTCTATGTACATGTATCAATATCTATTAGCCATTGTCTATCTATTTACCTATACTTACAGATTTTGTGTGCTTATCACTACATACCAGTATAATATAAGACGAAGAGATCGGTCTAGATTTGTTTACCAGTTGCAAGAGTACACGCAGTACAAAGTAGATTAAACATTGCATTGAATCTCCTTCAGGTGTGATCAGCAGCAACGGCGTACACTGGCAGCACGACCGTCGATTTGTGCTGCGCAACCTCCGCAACCTCGGTGAGATGCGAAAGTATTCTCGAAACGTCAAAAAATTATTAACTGACATAATAAGAGTAATGAAATTCTTAAACAAATACATCTATTATTTACAATGGCAAAATTCACTCGGTGCTTATAACATAACATATTGATCTCGGCGCTGAAGTGTAGGCCTGATGTGGTCTGTCGCCGATTCTTTTACTTTTCGTGCCTTGTTCACAGAAGATCTAAACTCGTTTCATTTGACCGGATCTTTTCATGACTGACGATAGTTTCAAATAGCTACTAGACTTCCACCGGGTTCGATAAGGAGCTAGACATTTCAAATCTGAACATATATTTTTCCATAGCTTTATCTAGTCTGTTCTTGAACGCGTTCATACTAGGAGCGCCAACGATGTCATTGGGGAGGCTGTTCCACATGTCGGTGATTCGAAGCGAGAAGAAATTTGGTCGCGTGGAGAAGTTGCAGCGCAATTTTTTTAGTTTATAACCGTGGCCCCTGGTGTTGGTTCTTGTTTCAAATTTTAGTAATCCTTCGGAGACCTTGTATAAACCATGAGTATACTTGTATACTTCAATGAGGTCCCCACAAGCCTTCTGGGACCTTGTATAAACCATGAGTATACTTGTATACTTCAATGAGGTCCCCACGCAGACGTCGATAACTGAGGCTTGGAAGCTTCATAATCTTTAATCTTTCTCCATAGGACTTGCCCTTCAAGCCTGGAATTATCCTTGTTGCACGTCTTTGAAAATTCTCTATTAAATTTCTGTACTTTTCAAATCTCGGTGACCACACGTTTCCAAACTCTAGATTCGGGCGCACGACAGCAACAAACAACTGCTTCATCGCTTCTGCATCTAGGAACTCGTATGAGCGTCTGATTAGTCCAAGAAGTTTGTTGGATGTGTTAGCTTGCGTTTCAACATGCTTAGAAAATTTCAGCTCCTTGTCGACATAAACTCCGAGATCTTTTTCCACCCTAGACTTTTCAATCATTACTCTCTCGTTGCAACCATGTCTTCTCATACTGTAATCTTGCTGTTCGTTTTTCTTCCCGAGGTGAAGTACTTTACACTTGTCAGCATTAAACCGCAGCTGCCACGTATCAGCTCAGTTAACTAAGCTGTCAAGATCATCTTGTAAATGCGCTTTATTTGACGCTCCTTCACTGTATTATAAACTTTTGTGTCGTCGGCATACATGGAGCACACGCTGGAGACGCTGGAGCAAACGCTTCTAGCAAATCGTTTATAAAAGCAACGAACAAAATAGGCCAAAGAACGCTTCCTTGTGGCACGCCACTGCGCACTGATGCTCAGTCTGACACGGTTCCGTTAATACTGATACGTTGTCGTCTACCAACTACGAAATCTCTGATCCATTGGAGTACGTTTCCCTCAATTCCCGAAGACTTCACTTTACGCAACAGCCGCTCATGCGGAACACTGTCAAATGTTTTGGCAAAATCGAGGTACAATGCATCCACTGGCTCCCTTTCGTCCAGCAGGCGAGTCCAATCGTTCAACGTAGATAATAAGTTAGTGGTGCAGGATCTACCGGCGATAACGTCATGTTGACAATCTGATATGAGATGGTGAGCAGTCAAGTGATCGACAATTCTATCCCTCACAACAGATTCCATTAGCATACAAACAACACTTGTCAGACTGACAGGGCGATAGTTGCCGGGGCTGCTTTTGTCACCTTTTTTGAACAATGGTGTTACTTGAGCTTCTTTCCAGTCGGACGGCAAAGTTCAAGGTTTCTTAAAAGAATACTTAAAGCGCTTTAAGAACCTAACTAATTAAAACGGGAGCATCTTGGTAAACATGGATTTTTATTTTGATGCAATCGCCAATCTACCAGTGTTCATATTTCGTGAACCAGTCTATGTTACGATACACGCATTCACATTTTCAGCTCCATAGTATTAAGTTGAGTTATAACCTGGTTGGCAGTTGTTTTTACGGCTTCAAACCTGAAATCTTATGAGTTAACTTGCGATTGTGGGGTATTAGGCGGGAATTTCACTTTTTGTTACCGGAGAGTTTTAAAGTTTGCTCCTAATTACTCTTTTTCAGGCATGGGTAAAAGTTTCCTGGAGGAAGCCATCAACACTGAAGCAATGGCTTTGGTGAAAGACCTCAAGAAGTACGGCGGTGAAGCCATCAACTACCCCGACAGCTTCAGGACTGTGGCGCTCAACATCATCTGGCAGATGGTGGCCAGTAAGTGTTAGATATTGTTTCATGTGTGGTCTTTAAGGTGACATAATTATTTCGTAAATGAAAATTCCTGTAAAATTTTTGCGAGCGAAGATTTAATTTCAAAAATTTAAGGCATATTTCGCTTCTTTTGTTGCTCAAACAATAACTTTACTTTAGTTGGTACATCTCAAGTTTTCATCCGATGATAAATGAAACACGAAATTTCATACTGCGATCATTGTTACCCCATAAACGCTTAAAATATTTTTATGATATTTCAATGCATGGAAGCCTTCACGAAAATGGTTAATTCATTTCTCTCATAATTAGGTTCTGCCAAATAATCGGTCTGGATTGCAATCCATTATAGCCAAAGCCATCCTAGGCCGCACACATAAACTCCAATCCCATTTTATTTCAGGCACTCGTTACGATCTGCGCTCAAGCGATGTCGAGACCATTTACCGGCTGACCAAAGCATTTCAAGACGACTTCTCAGCGATAGCTTTTTTGCCTTTATTCATTCCTGCTCTGAATCGATTGCCAGAGCCAATCAGAAATTTGATTTTCGGGGAGGACAAATTCGCAAAGCTATTAGAAGAAATGGAAAAAGTCATTAACGTGAGTTGATCTTGTCATCCAAAAAGCGTGATCAGGTAATTCGAACAATTAATATTGCATCATTAACGTTCTCATTTCATCCTACTTTGTTCTGTTCCGTCCGTGGGAGAGGGGAATGAGGTAAACAATAATGTAAAACAAAAATATTATCTAACTAGAGAACCAAAATAGGGCCCTCAGAAAGTTAATCGTGAATGGATCTGAGCAAAAATATATAAGCTTGAATTAAAAAACAGTGCCTCTTCCCCCATTTGCAGCCGTTTATTTGTCCAATGTGACGAATGAAAAGAATTAATGATATCCCTAACTCCACTATCAGGATGTCGTAGACAAGCACCTGGAGGACTATGACCCCGACAACCCCCGGGACCTCATAGACGAGTACATCAAAGACATGAAGGAGAGCGAAGGCGACGACAACTCCCTCTTCAGGAGAGGAGGTGAGTAAGGTAACAAAGACCTTAATTGCAATAGCTTTTTTGTGTGTACAGCTGACACTTCTCAAATTTGTGTTTTTCTCGACTCGGCCGTAAAAATCGCTGTTTGGTGGATGAGACTCCTTCACTGACATTCCTGGTTCGAGACCTGTGAGGAATGTCAGATTCCTTTCGGGGTCTGTGCTGTAGGCTGGACAGAAAAAACAATTTTTTCAAAAATTCGCTTGTGCCTATGATTTTCTTATGTGGATACCTACCAAATGAATCCCCATCAAAGGATGTCATAAACAAACAATTTCTGGAGTTGCCTCAAAGCCCTTGAAAAATGCAAAGAACGAGAATTTTATTGCAACTATCAATATAATAATAAATTTTCAAAAGTTAACCTGGATTATCGTGGTGACAATGCTGAATAAACATTTATTAATTAATTATGAATCAGTAAACAAAATATGGCACTGGTGACAATAGGTTTTCTAGCCTCATACGCAAGTTAAATGAAGCTCGAATCCCTGCCCCACTCCTACCCTTACACACACATAGCATAAGCATAACAACCAAACTGATAAGAGTTTTTTTTTGTTTATTGAACCTTGAAACATTAGCGAGAGAATGTGGCCGATATGCCGAGGTCTATCTATTGTTTGGGAGAGAACAAGGATAGAACAGTTCTAGCCAATAATAGTCCAGCAATTAATTACACAAATACTGACGTCATTAGCTCAGAAGTTGAACTCTATTTTGTGCACATAAAAAACGATAACCAGTTTTGAGTAAGTGAGGTCTTTAGGAGGTCACTTGAATAAGGTTAATAAGGTCCCTTGAATAGTGGGGTCACTTGAATAAATGAAGATAGTGCAAGATACCCACTCCCAATCGAAATTTTGATTCCTGTCAGCCGCTGGCTCAAGGACGCCCCAAGCTCGCCTAGCGCATGAATTAGCGGCTCTATGACTGCTTTAGCTAGTTTAGGTTGTACGAGGGAAATAAGTGCCTGATTAAGATCCGGTCTATTCCTCGACAACCGTGGGGCGAGTGCGGGGTGCGCGTATTTAGATCTGATACGTCCGGGACAGACACGGCCGAATCTGAAAAGTGCGTTAAAAAATGCCCCCTCCCTTCCCCCCTTTATGGGAGGAAGGGAAGGAACATTTGAATCGCTGTACGATTTATATATATGAACAGACTAGACGTGCAACACGGCAGCACAATGAAGCAAATGGCAAGTAAACACGAGTTTGAAACGGGAATAATATCAGTTAATACAACTTTCAACTACAACTTTCCACATTACCCACAACATTCTCTAATATTTACCAGAAAGTAAGATCCTCTCACATTTCCCGAGCAAAACAATTTTCAATAATCACTAGCACTCACCACTCTCACACAATGCCCAAAAACACAACATTCTTCAATATGCAATGGCACTCAACGATCAGCATTCTCCTATATTCAACACCGCTCACTATTATTCCATTCTACCCATTTAATCGTACCAAACACTCCTACCTATTGCGGTTGTAGCAGTGCCAAACATTTTCCACGTACGGCTGAGCGAAACATTCTCACATCAACCAGTATTGAATCTTCTCTCATATTCGCCAGGACAAAATATTCACATATACTGTAAAGCATTCTCCCGCTACTCAATTGAATCAGTCCTCAAAATTCTGCCAAAATATTTGTAAACGACAGCCTGTAGTAGTTACAGAGCTTGATTCTAACCATTCAAACATAGCGCAGATTCAATATAGTAGCTAATTCCTGTTTCCAGGTATGAAGTACCTAAAATATAGTAACATTATTCGCGGTAATGAAATTCTTTCCAAGCCCGCGTACCTAAAATTCTCGAAATACACGCGCGCAAAACATCCTCTCACATTAACCAGTATCGAACATTCTCTCATTAGTCTCATATTCACCAGTACCAGTTATCTGACATTCATCACTAACAAACCTTCTCCATTCAGCAAGTCCATAAAAATTCTTCCAATTCAGCATTCAGTGAAACCATTCTCCCACTTACAATAAGAACCAAACATTCCATCACTTATACACCAGTAATAAGCATTTTCTTAAATTAATCTAATCATTCACACCTGATTCATCTCTAAGGCGAGAGTGGTAACCGAAAGTCGACCGACAGCTGCTTCTGAATTTTGACTGGGCTGCAATCATGAAGGAGCTGCGGCTAATCTCTGATTTATTCGAGAAGGATCCCTTTCCGTGGCGAGTCCGAGGCCGTTCAACTCCTTGCCGATGCAGCTGAGAGTAGAGCCGGAGTTCACCTTTAAAGACCTTCAACAAGCGACTCTGCTTCGACGCCATTACAGGGGTCTATAAGCAAACAGCATCGTGCATCAGCTGACCCAACTGAGGGCAGATGCGCGGTTCCCCTTTTCTATGGCGGCAAGGACGGCCTGCCTAACGGACAGAATATTATAGCAATATAGCAGCGCCCCAGCACGGCGTGAGACTTCCGTACCAATTAGTTAGGCGTATTAATATTCCAAAAATGGTAGGCATTAGTTAGGCGTATCAATGATACAAAAAATAGTGTAGATTGAAAGACCCAATATCTCGAGGAGTTCTTCTCAGTTTAAGAATAAAGGCTAAAACCAAAAAAGTTACATAAAACATTTTACTGTATAGAAGTCCTAGATAAATAAAACAGAACGTTTCGGGCTATGCCCATCATCAGCTAGAAGAATATATCTGGAAATACATGGAAATCAATTTTAGTACAGAAATTTAGAAAATGATAAGGAAAGAAAGGAAAAAAAAACTATTGACCTAGAATCGAAAGAGGAAAAGAGCTGGATTGGTTATTCAATTTAGGTTTAAGTTTATGGATGTAAAGAGATTCTAAAATTCGTAAATCGGTTTGGCTGCTAGCGTTACAAAGAATTTTAAATTGATCGATGGACACGGGAGGAGCAAGTGAGTAGTTGCCGAACATGCTGGAAGAAGTTTCCGCACTGGGCGTCCACTTGCTCAGCCGCCTCATTCATCAGTCAGACTTCATACAGAACAGTGCTCACTTGCTCCTCCCGTGTCCATCGATCAATTTAAAATTCTTAAAAAACGCTAGCTAAAACGCTAAAAAGTAACGCTAGCAGCCAAACCGATTTACGAATTTTAGAATCTCTTTACATCCATAAACTTAAACCTAAATTGAATAACCAATCCAGCTCTTTTCCTCTTTCGATTCTAGGTCAATAGTTTTTTTTCCCTTCTTTCCTTATCATTTTCTAAATTTATGTACTAAAATTGATTTCCATGTATTTCCAGATATATTCTACTAGCTGATGATGGGCATAGCCCGAAACGTTCTGTTTTATTTATCTAGGACTTCTATACAGTAAAATGTTTTATGCAACTTTTTTGGTTTTAACCTTTATTCTTAAATTGAAAGACCCATATATGCAATTGATCGATAGCATTCCTGTGCTTTGTCTAATTTTAGCGCTGAACCAAATCGTCAACGACCTCTTCTTCGCGGGATCGGACACGGTGAACAACATGATGAAGTGGATGGCCTACCTGCTCGCCCGGTATCCAGAGTACGCAACGAGGATGCAGCAGCAAATAGACGCCGTCGTGCCCAGGGACCGCATGGTGTCGCTCGACGACAAACAGAGGTAATAAATTTGGTAGCTGTGAGTTTAATGTGCTTATTCATGGTTGCGAATTGGAGTGGTGTTGGTTAATACGAGTATAGTAGTATGATATCTTCAGTTGAATAATAGCTAGCCTGTTTACGCCTGTCGCCGATCCTCGTAATTTTTATTTCTTGTTCTCAGGTCCAAAAACTGGTCTGTTGACCAGATATTTTCAACTGACGGTGGTTTAAAATCTTTGCTGGACTTTCAGTTGTTCCGTAGGGTACTAGGAATTCCAAGGCTAAAGATATGCTTCTGCATAGCATTGTCTGGTCTGTTCTTGAACGTGTTCACACTCGGAGCGTCAATACATAAATTTGAATTTGTTCTCCTAATTCGCAAAAACTCACCCGCATGCAGTTATTCGTCGATTAACTCAACTATTCACTTCCAAAGCTTAATTTAATGAAAGAGATTATAATCAATCTGGTGATTCTACAATTTTTACTTTTTTTGATCATTCAATCTTCAATTATCCGGATTGGGACTTAATCGCCTATGCGCAGTTTCGATAAAATAAATTTCATGTGTCTATGACCTTAAACTGTTTACCTGGCACAGAATTTGCTTATGTGATTAATTCTCCACTTCATACGGTTTCGATGCAAGTTAATTAATAGTACCTGATTTTTCTCACCTAGCTTGCCCTTGGTTGAGGCATTCACTGTTGAAGCCTTGCGGTACTCATCCATGGTGATCTTCAACGCTGAGAGGACGGCTACCCGCGATACAAACTTCAAGGGCTATCTCGTTCCCAAGGTAAAAGTGTTCCCAAGCCGCAATACAGCTGAATAATGTTCATAGTTCACAGCATTTCGTTCAATATCCGTGCAGTGAACAGGAGAAAAATTGGCTGAAGAAGTTGAATGGTACTCGTCGAGTATATGTGGCCTCCCCAAACGTTATTCAGGGATTTTGCAGAGAGTTCCTGCAGTGGCGTCGTAAAGCCTATTTTGAGAGAGCTTCAGCCTCCAGAAAATGTTCTCAAACCCTCCTTTATAATTATATTTTCATTTATTGAAGTAATATTAATATCTTTTTAATGCTGACAAATTTAATATAATTCAACTTAAATATAGGTTAAAATAAATAATCATAGAACCAGTCATTATTAACTTTGAGAGCAGTTGAACGCTATGATTGAGTTGCAAGAAGCAAAGTGTTTTATTTCGATCTTGAACAGTCCAGCTAACTTGCTACTCTGAACTTTCATCAGTGAACGCTAATTTTGGTAAAACTTAGTGAGAATGTGAGAGTAAATGGATGCTTAAATATCAAGTGATCTCATTTAATTTTGAAAATTTTGGAATTGAGGTGACTGCAGCTGGAAAAGTTCCGTGCCCTGAAGAATCTTTTTGATGAACAAAACTTCGACCAACTTCATTTATATTTTATTACAGGGAACTACAGTGCAAGTCTGTAACTACTCAGTCCACCACGACCCGCGGTACTGGGACGACCCCCACAAGTTCTACCCTGAACGATTCCTGGATGAGAGTGAAACTAAGTACACGGCCCCTAAGAAGGGCTTCTTTGCCTTCGGTTCAGGTGATACTCGCAGAAGAGGCTTTTACTGCAAGACAATTTCATAATTCAGGTTCACGTTGGATTCTATAAAATCAGATAACTAGGCAAACTGAAGATTCTAATCTGCTTAATGCCGCGGTTAAAGAAGTTTACGAATCTGAAAAATTTGGCTTAATATCCAATAGCAATTACAAGGAAAACGGATAACAGAGCGCCAGTCATTTACCGAAAAATATTTTTCGGTAACTTTAGGCGTAATTTTACTTCTTATTTCAGTTTTTAAATACTGTGAACATATTATCAAGAAAAAATTATCAACCGACAGGTCGTCGTCAGTGCGTGGGGGAGCTGCTGGCCCGCATGGAGTTGTTCCTCTTCACCGCCGCCCTCATCCAGCACTTCGACGTGCGCCCCCCGCACGCCGTCGACATCACCAAGACAGCCATAGTCAATTTTGCGGGAGCTCGTTTGCCTGCAGATGACAAGCTCATCTACCAGCCTAGAAACTGATACATTGACTTTCGTCTGCATTGAGAAGTTGATGTCCGAACTATTTGATACAACATTTGAGTGTTCCTGAAGTACGGTGTTGTCTGTCGAGTCGTTAACACCATTCAAAACCTATAGTCTCGGATACATTTTCAGTTATCGTACTTCCGCTTACGTTTACCAGTAGCCTCAACGGTACATTTGCTTTCGTCTAGTATACGTTCATAATTTCAGGCTTCTCTCCACAAGTTGAATCTACCTTGATTACCTGATTTATTAGGTTTTAAGTTCAAGATTGTGCTGGATTCACGATGCCAATTACTTAGCTTCTGTTGGTAGACCCATCAAGCGGCACCAAACTAACCAAACACTGTGGAAACACACAAAAAATTATCTTAATCCAATTATAATTATTTTGTTTTATCATTAAAATTATGCTGAGTGAGTTCTATTAATCAAGCTTTGGTATTCAAGTTATTATACTCAAATAATAGTGATTAAGCAATAATAATGATGCAGGTACGTCGTGCAGTAAGAGAATAACCACAAGTGACCAACGATTATGTTGCCTGGAACCACATAACCAGAATACACGGGACCATCACAACCGCAATACCCCTCTCAAAAATACACACATACAACAAATATCAACTAACCAACTAAAACAACTCAAATATCATAAACAACTATAAAACATATACCAAATTCCTCAATCACTTTAGCGCAATCTTCTCTCGACAAACACATCATCACCAATTCACTCACTTCAAACAACCCCACCACACACTCTCTATCACTCAGATAATACAATATAAACTGTATATCATATCTCTTTTCAAAATAATCAATCTAAAAAGCCATCACTAAAATCGCAACACTCATTTCTTTATCACTCATCAGTCACGCCAATAT